TGAAAGAGTAAGTTGATCTGCTACTGCCTGTGCCACCGGACAGGCCCAGAAGTGATGACAGCGAGGGGATACACCTCCCACTGAACCTACTGGATAACCTCCACAACCACATAGTTTACAATAGTTTACAATAGTTTACAATAGTTCACGCCTACCACACCACCCTGGCAACATCACAGCTAAGCCCCTCGCATTGGCTTTGCCAGCGATCCAGAATCTGTAGAACAGCTGGCATTAGCCCACAAAGCCCGTCTAAGCGGGTTCTGAGGTCCGGCAAGGAGTACCCTACGCCTTCGGCCGCTGCCCTTGAGGAGGCGGCAGCAGGCGACTCCATGACGCGATCCACTCAGAAAGAACCATCTTTAGATGAGATTTACAAGCTGCTTCAGACCCATGCTACACAGACCAAGGCGTCCTTCGACTCCTTGCATAGCAAGACAGATGCGCTGGCTGCTCGTGTTGACTCGCTGGAAAAGAATATTCCGGAAATAATTACCAAAAAGGTGGAGACCGAAATGAAGCAGTTCGAAGTTCGGGCCGCGCAGTTCATCATCGAAACTGTGCAGTCTCAGCTCGCGGGGGCCCCTACGTTTGCGACCGACCGCACCGGGTCTAAACAGCGTAGGAACTTGACCGGCAAATCTGCCTACTACGATTCCGGCTCCCTGATCGCGTTTGGCGTCCCGGCTCTCGCGACCGCTAAGCAAGCAGCGGAAGCCATCACCCAAGTCGTCTCCGATGCCAGTGGAGGAAGCCTCCAGGCCTCCTTCCTCAGCGTCGAAGTACGCACTGAGAAGCCACGACCCAACCAGGCGGNCCCAACATACAACATCACCATCGGCGTCACCCCCCGTGTCCGTGGTATGCTTTTCCGACACAGCCAGGCCCTTAAGGCCATCGGCATCACCTTCCGGGATGACCTCACCCCGGCAGGTCGTCAGCTCAAGCAGGCTCGGAACGCGCAGTTCCTGCGGCTGCGTGACGAGGGCCGCAAACCCAAGTGGCTGGGCCCGTACATCGAGTACCAGCGCACCGACGGCATGTACTACATGGTCTCCAAGTACGACGTGTCCGACGTTCCGCCCCCCCCCGCCCCAGCCCCCGGCCAGGAACGGGGCTGCGGCGGGCACAAGCGATGGACGCGTGACCACAGAGGGTGCTGGCGAGGGGAGCGCCACCTAGAGTGCTATGAGTCGTGAGGCTAAAGACATCAGGGTCTTGCTTTGGA